TTTCTCCCCTATTTCCAGCAGATTTTCGGACACACAAGGCAGCAAATAAATGGACAAATTCGGGGCTTGGAGGGGCTGTCAACATACCAGAATTTCAGCAAGCAAGGCTGGAGCTGGCGGGTTTGGGGAAGAGCCGATGGGATCTGCAGGAAACTCACGGGCTACCAAAAATTGGAGAACCAAAAGCACAAATTAGAGTAATCCAAGTTAATTTAAGGCTAAAAGGAGGAGACCCATGGCTGTTCGTACCGAAAAAAGTCCAAAAATCACCCACCCACATAGCAGCAGGCGGTGCAGACAGAGCAGAGCAGATCTGGAAATTTTCTGCAGGGGGGAAAGCTTCTGGGTTCTATATGTGTTTTAGAGCAAGAAAAGAAGGAGAAATCCCCAAGCTTTTACCGGTTTTTCTTCAAGGGAGGGCTGTCGGTGGTGGCTGGGTTTTGTTGTCGGCTACAGGGAAGAAAGAAGAAGAGCAGAACACGTGGGCTGAATTATTCACTATTAGGCCCAACAATATTATTTTCTCACACAAAGGTCCTTAACTAAGTGCTAAAATATCGCAAAATTTTGGGATATTACACTAATGGTTCATCCCCAAATGTTGATGCTTGGGTTCGGTTGGTCGAGAGTTTGACTCCGAACCAATTGCTTGAAAAATATTCCCTTCCCCAGTGATTCTCCATGTACCAAAAAAAAAACCACCTAAATGATTTAGAATTATATAATTGGATCAGACTTGTGACTGGTCTCTGATTCAACTAGTTTGATCAGCCAATCTAATTAATTCAGCTAGTTTAATTGTGCGCCTATAGAAAAAGCCTATGCAGTAGGAAACTTATAAAAAAATTTGTTTTAAATGACATGTTAGTCTTTAATGATAAACTAACAATGATGTAGTATGAATCATTGTTTTAAAACTCAGACCGAATCAATTGGTCTGATCAATTGAATCGAAATCGATTGCAAAATCGGTTCGAGTCATGACATAAAACGGGTTGTAATAAAATCTAGTCAAAGTTAGTCAAACTCAGTCAAACTCATTGATTTCTGAATTGATGAACCGTCCGGTTCACAAATTTTGAAAACTTTCAACAAGTTTGTGCATTCAAGGGGATTCGAACCCCATTCCTTCAACACTCATTTTGAAGTTTTCACCATTAGGCCACCAACACCACTATTGTCACTTTTACAAAAAAAAATTTATTTATTTAGATAAAATAAAATAAAATAAAGCGTGTATTTATGTAATTTTTAACAATTTATTATTTTCTAAATCAATATCATGTTAATGATTTCAATTGTATATTTAATAAATAAAATTTTTTAATATGTGTTGTTAAGATAGAAATAAAATTTTATTAAATATAGTATTTTTAGTTAATTTTATATAAATTCTTATATCATATTTAATTAAAATAAAA